AAATTGACCTGGAAAACCAAGGCATATATGAAGTCCCCTGTGCATCATGCCCGGCCACATACATTGGACAGACCAATAGAACAATAAGGACCCACCTGGATGAACACAAAAATGCAGTCAAAAAGCTGGAACACGTGTCCTCACTAGTCCAACACATGAAAGCCACAGGTCATAGCATCAACTTCAATGGCACAAAAACCCTAGCCACTATATAGAAAACCCCAGCCACAGAATTATCAGAGAAGTCACAGAGATTGAAAAAAGACCTGAAAGCATGAATAGAAGAGATGATTCACCAGACTGTCAATTATTTGGAAGCCTGCACTCACAAACAAAAAAAATCTCCACACCACTAGCCAGGCAAACACCTGGGCACAAACAGATCCCCCCTGATACCTCCAGCTCAAACACACCCCAACCAGGCACCCAGATGAAACCTAGCTTCCTAACAAATGATAGCCGTCCATTTACTCAGAGCCAAGCTGCACTAAAAGCCTCCAATACAGGAATACAATGTTGCCAGCCAATCAAGACACAAAAAAGCCACAAAACAGACAGAAGATATTAGAAACACCAATCAAGCAGAACACAGCAAACTTCAATACCAATAAAAAACAGACCAAGACTCCCAACCAATCAGGATGAAGAAAAAACCATTCTGGCACAGGAGTAGGCTAGCCCCAAATTTAAAACTGAAACAACTGTAAAAGTCTGACTCACAGATGAACACAATACAGAAGCCTGATGACAGCAGATGAGATTCTGCCGAAACGTTGCTACAACTTTAAAAGCACAACTATAATGATGTGGGAAAACACCCCGAACAAAACTGAATACCATTCATGTAAGTGCCCGTGAAAACTTACGAAAATATATAGAGAGATATAGATAGATAGATAGATAGATAGATCCTTTTTCCTTGCATAATTTAAGCCTTCCAGAGTCTTAATGCCTAACATAATTACATTCTACTTGAGCCTTTTATAATAAAGCAAATCCAAACCCCCAACAGTAAATTATGCTGTTAGAATTGGGCACTATCTTAGAGCCCTCTGGATAGAAAACAATAATGGGGCCAAGCAATGGCCCAAGGTTGGCCAGCATATTTATTGAAACACAGAGATACATATAAGGATTAGGCCAAATAATCTTACCTGAAGAAAGCCTGTTTGGTGTAGTAGTTAAGGCATCAAGGTAGAAGCTATTCTAGTCCCACCTTAGGCATGAAGCCAGCTGGGTGACTTTGGGTCAGTCACTCCGTCACTCAGTCTCAGACTGAGGAAGAGAAGACAATACAAAACCACTTCTGTAATCTTGCCAGGATAACTGCAGGGAATTGTCAAGACAGTCGCCAGGAATAATACAGTAATAATAATAAAAAAAACTTGACTCAGAGGCACAGAAAAAAAAACATCTTACCTTATTACTCATTACTGCATTTATACTCCATCTTTCCTCTGGGTATTGAAATTGCCCACTCTCTTACCATCTTTTCCCACAATCTCCACCTGAGGGGTAGGCTATGCTAAAAGAGGGTAACTCTTTACTTGGCCCAAGTTATGTGACTGAGGGGGATTTAAAAATTGTTTCTCCCTAGTCCTAGTTCTCCACCAGAACCAGTGATGGCTACCCTTTTCCATGTTGTGTGCCAAAAGTGCGCTCACGGGCCTGCACCCATGATGCAGTGCGACTCCCCCCTCCCCCTACATGCATCCCCCCCCACACGGCATGCCTCTGTACATGCACACACATATTCCACATGCACATCTCCCCCCACGCATGCATGGCAGATACCCAACAATCAGTTGGCTGGCAGTGGGGGGTGCGCACATGCGCAGTGGGACTCTTCCAGACAACCTCTCACGTGGCGGCAGAAGTGGTTCTGTGTGCCACTTCCAGCACGCGTGCCATAAGTTCACCATCACGGCCCTACATCATACTCTTCGCACAGAATTCAAGCCATATTTTATTGTATAAGAGCTCACTGAGGTAACAATCAATATACTCTCGTGAGGATTTTTAAAAATATGGGCTTAAACATGGATCTTAAGGTTCATATTAGAATATTATAGCACTGTTAATTACTTTTGTTTAATAAAACAAAGACTATTAATATTCTGCATCACCCAAGAATGATCATAATTATTACTACTTTACTAGTCAGCTCATTATGTGCTGCCAATTTTAAAACATATTATCTTGTACACATTTGTTGCCCAGTGTTAACTTTTATATATATAAAAGTGTGTGTGTGTGCCCTCTTTTATTTCAATACAGACTTCATGGTAGAATTTGTTAGTTTATGGGATATTTCAGAGGGCTCAAGAGCCTAATGTTTTAGATAAGAGTTGAAGTCAAGGGTTTGTCCCTTTCTTCTACTGGATTCAGTTATAGCCCTACAATGCATTCATATTTGAGGGAACGTCCCAGATCATAAAGTTGAGATTTTATTTTGGTTCTTCCTAATAAACTGGGTTGTATTGCTTTACTTTCTGCAATAGCCATCTCCCAATGAGAAATTCTTTCAGCTTAGTCTACCTGCATCATGATTGTGAAGAGCATGACTACAGTACCATTGAATTGATGGATGCACTATTCACTTATTGTTCAAGTTATGTGGAAGGTTGCTCACCAACGTTCATGAGATTCATTGTCTCTCTGCATCAAGCTAACCTGGTAAAATCAGTTATTATGAAACATCCAAGTCATAGTTCTTTCTGTCCATGAACATCTATGAACCTTGTGGAGCAAAGGAAATTCAAAGTCTCAGTCTTTCTTCTTGTAGTTCAATGACTCACCACATGGGGCAGATCCCTGGAGCTGTTGACAGTATTGACACTATTTCTGCCCACCATCGTTTGGGCAGTGGGAGCATTCCTTGCTTGCACTGTTCAATGAATGTTTTGCCCCCAAACAGAAGTTTGCGAAACTGTAATGTAGTTACAGGACAAGAGTGCCTTCCACCCCATATTTTCTGATCTTGATTTCAGCTTCAACTTTCTCAGGATCACATGCTCCAAACCAACCGAATACCTTTGAAACTGAACTCTAAAGAATTGGGCATGGGCACCTGGTTGTGGAATACTTGTTCTTCTCAAAGGACACATCTATACTCATTCTGTAAATCACATACACAATGCTAACAGGGTTAACAGATGTCTCCTATTTCACTGATTGATGAACCACAAGGACTGATGGCAAAGAGAGAATCCAAACAAGGATTTTGATTTGTTTATTTGCATCCTATCTTATTATTTTTATAAATAACATGAGGAGGCAAACGTAACCAACACACCCTCCTCCTCCTGTTTTACCCACAACAGCAACAGTGAGGTGGATTGGACTAAGAGTGTGTGACTGGCCCAAAGTCACCCAGCTGGCTTTCGTGGCTAAGCTGGAACATAAACACACAGTCTCCTGCTTTTTAGCTTGGTGCTATAACCACTAGACCAACTGGCCCTCAGATTTTCATGTGAAATGAGATATGGTAAATTTCATGCCTATAGGCACCTCATCCTCTGACCCATTCAGGCTTTTGAGTGGACTAGAGTTGTTGTGTTCATAAAAGATTTTAGTTGATCGGATATTAATGACAATTTCACAAATTGTAGAACCGACTTTGGTATTGAAAACATTCACCGGGGCTGAATGCTGCAGTGGGTCTACATTCCAGGTGAAACCTGTGACTCTAAATTCCTTTTTCGTATTGCTGTTACAGAGAGCCAGTTTGGTGCAAGGCACCAGTCTAGAACAGGGGTCTCCAACCTGGGAGTTGAAGTCCACAAGTCTTAAAATTTGCTAAGGTTGGAGACCCCAAGTCTAGAAAATGGGAGAACGTGAATTCTATTCCCACCCTTAGGTATGAAGCCAGTTTGGGTGATCTTGGGCCAGTCACTCAGTCTCAACCCTAGGAAGAAGGCAGCAATGGCAAATCACTTCCAAAGAACCTCACCAAGAAAAAAAAATACTGTAGTGACTTATCCAGGCAGTCTCCAGGAGTAAGACTAACTCAAGGCATCAGAATAGTAAATACTAATAACACATGCTATCAATAGGTTAAATGTTGCCTGTGATTGTTCTGCCTTTCAACGAACAGCCTTCCTAACCAGCCTTTCAATCTTACAACAACTACCCGAAGAGATAGCATTGGCAAAGAAGTAGCCTTTTGCCAAATAGATTAGAAAGCAGCAATAACCGAAACGCTGAGCATTCTTTTACGGTCCAGCTGTCCACTCATGTGACCAAGCCAGAAAGAAGAGTACAGTATTGAAAGCTGGGGTAAACATTGGAAGGTGAGTTACAGGCATTGTAAACAACGCGAAGGAGCAACCCTGGATTTACAGGCACCCGCACCCTTTCTTATTCCGTGCTAAATAAACATCGCGATTCTTTTCGGGCCGGGTCGAGTCGAGCGGAAAGCAGAAAAGGAGGACGAAAAGCCTCCAGCAAGGCTAGACCAGAGACGCCATCTCGTGCCAAGGGCCTCGTGCTTCCAACTCTTCCCCTCCGCGGTGGAGTCAAGAGGTCGGGCGAAGTCGCGTTCCTGTCTCACTCGCAGAAGAAAGAAAGTCCCTTCTGAGCTCCCTAATCCTCCCCCGCCCTCCCTTTGCTTAATGAGGACGAGGGGAAAGTTTCCCGCCTCCTGGCACATGCTGGAAAGCCTTTGGCTCCCCTTTCCCGCTTCCCGACGGCGGCGGGGGCTTAGCCAGGCAGTTGTTCCCACCTCCTCGTGCCTGGCAGCCCCTCTCCGCTCCTCGCAGCTCTCCGGGCCGCCTGCCAGCCGAGGCTTCCCGCCCTCCCTGCGTGCCTGTGTCTCCGCCGAGCTGAGGGAAACTGGCCCCTCCTTTTACCCACGTCGACCCCTCCCTCTCTGCCCCCTCCCTCCCCCCGCCCCCCCCCCCCCCCCCGCCAAAGCTGAAGCGGAGCTGGTGTTTTTCCACTCACCAGGATGGGTGATGCTCAGCGCTCGCTCACTAGAGAACAGACACGAGAGGTCAGGAAGAAAGCGCTTATAAATTACCGTTTCTTCCTCCCCATTGCTGTTAGTCTGCCTTGCCGCTCACGCCGAAGCACATAAGGACGGAGGCAGAAACTGCCAAGACGCTGGACAGCTACCTGGACAGAAAAGAGCAGCTGCTATAGGTACCCAAGGCGGGTTTTCGGTCTTTTGGAAGGGGAGAGAAAGCGAGCCCGACCACCGTCGCGTCGCCTTCTCGCTCTTCTTTCGGGCAACCAGGAACAAAGCAAGGCATGTGAGACGACCCCTTCCCCCCCCCCCACTACCTCATGTCTTTGTTATTTTCTCCTGTCCAGCACCAGAAGTGGGGGGGGGGGGGGGGAAACAAACCTCCATCAGGGAATGGTGCTTCTTCCCCACCCCACCCTTCTTTGTGCCGGGTTCCCAAAACGAGCCTTCCCTCCATTGCCCGCCTTTGCTTCCTCGCGCCTGTCTTTCGCTCCGCACTTTCCCCGCGCCTTGTCTCCGAGCGATTTCCCCCTTTTTCTCCCCCTTTATTAGAGCATGGCGGTTGCCTTTTGTCTGCGTTTGATAAAATGTGCGGGCACGAACACCTTTCTGGTGAAGCCGAGGGCTTTTTTCCACCCTCTCGGCTGGGTTCTTTCCTCATCGTCCCCGGCGGTCAACCTTCGCTACCTTACGTGCACTTTGGAATAATACACAGAGAGAGAGAGAGAGAGAGAGAGATCTACAGGGAGGGTTGAAGTGGCATTAGCCACTTGTGTGGCAACGTTTTCCGTCTGATTTTTGTCGTTCGTGCGGTGTGGAGGGCTTTTCTCCCCTCTGTCCTCTCTTCCTCCTCCCTTTACATCTGCGAGTAAGTACTCGCCTCTTCCCCTCCGTTGTCCTCCCCGTGCTTCTTCCTCCGCGCGACGTGCGATTGAATTCTATCGAAGCACGCGGGCTCGCCTTAAAAACGCGCGCGCGCGCGCGCACACACACACACACACACTCACACACAAAAAGCGAGGCAACAGACGGCAATTAGAAAATTCGAACGCGAGCATTTGTTACCGCCGCGGCTGCCGGCGCATCTTTTAATAGCTCTCTTGCGATTTCGTTCATTCATTATTATTATTTTTTTCTGGAGAGGAGAAGCACCCCAAAGAACCACCCTGGGTATTCTTAGAAACTTTGCTGGCATGAACTGAATCTTGGACGTGCTTCGGGGTAAATAAAAGTGATCCTGAATTTGCCTCGTTTGTTCTGGAATCAGAAGCCAGCCTTCCCAAGGGGGTGAAATACTCGTTCGTATTTAACCAGGTTAACGAAAGGGAAGTGGGCCGACTTTTCGAAAGGGCATCGTCTAAATTTCCGTATTAAGAACCTAAAGAGGAAGCAGCTTTCGCATGTCTGGCTTGGATCGGCAGATGGCATATTGGGCACGTTGTCGTTTTTCCTCTTTATACCTTTTGCTTAACTGGAGATCATTACCTATCGAACTCATTTTTGGAATAACGAAAACAAAAACTGGAGTTAATGGTCGAGAATGTTTGGGTTTTTTAAAAAAATGTATTACTGTTGTAGTAATACTATACCCTTGGGAAGAAAACTCAGTAGAACTTCCAAATCATTACTTTTGAGATTGCTGGGGTTTTTTGCATATCAAAATAAAATAAAAAAGGTGAGGTAGGTGTGTCATTGAAAAAAAAAAAAGCCGTTTTGCTGATAATGGCTTTTGTAATCTGGAATTGTGGCTTGCTAACATTCTGTAATCTTTTAAAATGGTGTTTCACATGAACCAGGTTACACACACACACACACACACACACACACGCACACGCACAGTCTCATGTATAATGTTTAATTTTAGGGGGGAAACCCTACACATTATTCTAGGTCAAATCTTTGTGTCCTTGGGACATGGCCGTGTGTGTGTATATATAGCTTTGTATTTGCATTTGAGTGGGTAAAATTATCCCTATAGAAGAACTCAAAGGAGCGTTGGAAATGTTTATCTGTAGACATTGCTTGGAGGTTTGATATATTACAACAGAAAAAAATATGTTTACATCATATTTGAGATGAGAGGGTCATATGCTATGATAACACTGTCACTTGCTTAAGTGCTAAAAGTGAAAGCGTCGTTAATATTAGCAGCAGTAAACACATTTTGTCTGCTTTCCGTATTTGATTATTCTTTTATCTGCCTAAAATATTGCTTAAAAAAAAACTTGGCTGTCTCTTCAAGTTTTCCATGACTCTTCCAGTCATAATCTATTCTGGCCCCCAAGGTCTCCCTTTTTCATTTTCCTTTATCACCTTCTTCTGCTGTAATTTATCACTCAGAAGTGATATTTATCAGCCTTCAAAATCCCCTCTAATATTTGACATCCTATCCTGTAGGGGGCAGCAGTATGAATAAGGCAAAGATATTGTAATATTTTACTACCGTACAATAACACACAGAAAGAATAAAGAAAAATATTTTGTGTGTTGATCCTGAAATATATCATGGCATGTTCTAGTAAGGCACTTAAGATAAATCTAGCTTGTTTTATGGATTTGTTTTATGGATGCAAATGCATGTGTTTTAGAGTTGGCATAATGAACATTATATTTATGCACTCCTGGAATGGAGATTTAGGAAGTAAACAAATTATCAGAAATACTAGTTTATGAGTTGATCATGAGTTTGGTATTCATGATGAATTTTTAAAAATATACTTAAGGGTAACATATTTTTGTCCCACTCTTATGTTAGAATAGAATATATCCATTTTTAGCTCACTCCTCCTCTTTTTTATGTAGGAGAAGAATGATCTTGAAGTAGGAGTGGCTAAATAATATGGTTTTAATAATAGCATCTCTGAACATAACTAACCTAATGTTCAGGGCAAAGTTCACTATGCAGAGAAACTGTATGATTTGATATTTTCACTTTTAGTGGAGTTTCATATTTATTAAAATGAAGTTGGAAAGATTATCAGTGGGATCAGAAAAGGAGTATAGCAGAATTAGATGTTTATCCCTTTCCTGTCATACCATTCTTCATTATATAAGGTGTTGAAGTTTGCCCTTTGGGTAGTTGTCAGAGCAAAGTATGCAAATACTTTAATGACAATTTTCTTCCTCTTTATAAGGCAGTTAAAAGTGTCATAATGTTAGGTAAAATACTAAGATGCACTTTGTTTCATGCTCAGCAATATTGTAAAGCTTAGTACTTATGCCACAGCTTGCCTGAGTAATGAGAATTTGTAGCACTTTTGAATAGGAGCTTGTTGGAATAGCTATTGAATGTAACTAAAGCCATTTCAGACTAGCATTTTCTATATTGTGTGTCTGCTGCTAGGTTATTGGCAGAATCATTCTTAGGCACTGGAAGTAGGGTATATTTCAATGAATATGCCACAATTATCTTCTACCATTTCACTCTGTTTGTGTTTGTGGGATACAGTTGAAGTTGGAGTTAAGTGCAACTAAAGTACACTAAGCTAAGAGGGCTTGTTTAGAACAGTCCTGTGTCAATTTTAAACTTGACTAAACACAATCATATACACACACGGCTATTAGATCATTCTAGTCTGAAAATCTTATAGGTTAATTGGATTTAAAGAAATTAGAATTATTTTCTTCTTCTGTAACACATCATTACCCTTATTTGTCTATTAAAATAGTCCATATTCAAAGGATATCCATGACTTTTATCCTCTGTGTATGGCATACTACCTTTTGAAAACAGGTGGCCAGTCCAGTTAAGATAGAATATTCTGGCTATCTTGCTGATAGGGTGTTTATAACTTTATGGTGAGTTAATTGAGCCAGATATTGCAAAATCATGTGGCACATATCTAGGATTGTATGTTTCGTTTTTGTTTTTTTAGGAAATGAACATTCAGGTATTTTGTTACTTACCCAAAATAAACACAGATTTCACATATTCTCCTGTATCTCAAATAAAAAACAACAATGAGAAAGACAGAAGAAAGGAGAGGAAGGCAGTTTTAGGAGATAAAGGGAAGTAAAAACCTAGGATCAGAGTTCAAAGCCTTAATAGCAGTAGAACTTAGACTTATATACTGCTTCACAGGGCTTTACAGCCCTCTCTAAGTAGTTTACAGAGTTAGCATATTGCCCCCCCAACGATCTGGGTCCTCATTTTATTGACCCCAGGATGCAAGGCTGAATCAACCTTGAGCGGGTGAACCATGAACTGCCAAACTGCTGGCAGCCGGTGATCAGCAGAAGTAGCCTGCAGTACTGCATTCTAACCACTGTGCTACCTTGGCTCTCTACCATAGATTAAACAAGTAGACCAGATATGAAATTTAATACATGCATCATAACTACTAACTATTATTCATTTCTTGACTGTCAGGTGAACTTATTTCTCCACACTTTTAAGTGTGAACAAATTCTCCCATTATAATGCCTTGTAAGTAAGAAAAAAAGGATTACCAAATAATTATTTCTAATTTGACTACTAATTAATAGAATCAAAGTGACTAATTGCTACTTCAAGGAATAATGAGAACTAGACTGTGTAAAGCTACTTCTGTGCTGCAAGTGCCATAAATAGGTAATAATATTTCTTGTTTTTCTACTTTAAAAAAACACTTAAAGCAACCCACTATTATGTGCTATGAAGTTGGTGTCAACTTTTAGCAACTATAGATTTTATGATGGTCTCTCCCTGGTTTGTTTCAGGTCTTCCAATGATATGCCCATCACTACTATAACTGTCCCAGGTTGGGGATAATTACCATAGAGATAATCTATCTACGGTTAGAGTTGACATCCACTTATAGCACATAATCTATCAATACAGTAAATCACAGTAAGAATGCATGGACATTCACTAGGGCAGGGCTGTCAAACTCCAGGCCCATGGCCCGGATCACGCGCTGGCCATGCCCCCACCTGGTTTAGCAAAGGGGGAAAATCCCAATACATCACATGATGAGTTTGACATCCCCGCACTAGGGGGTGGGAGAACAAGTGATGAAATGTGTATGATGACATCTAAACATAAACCACTTGACTTACACCTGTGCGTTCAGTGCCAGGTTGCTAGCACAAAAGGGCAAGATTTGTTTTATGACATCATGCACATTATCATTTCCACTATTGTGATTACTTGGGTGCCTGTGTTAAATATGTGCTTGACTCTGCCTACCCTATTAGCTTTGGTTAGAAAGGAGCAGCAAAATCAGGCCCTGGATTTGGGGATAATATGCCTGAGAAAGATATTCCCGCCCTGAATTTAGAAAAGTACTCTATTCTTTTCCTGAATTGCTTACCATCAGGCTTGAGATTTTAAAGTCCTTCCTGGCATGGATCCAGGTTACCCAAGGAACCATCTCACCCTGATGGGACTTGCCTGCCCCATCCACACTGGGCAGGAGGGGCACACTGCGGATCCCATTAGTCAAAGAATTTCTGCTGGTGGGGTCCGGGAGAAGGATCTTCTGTGCCAGTGGCTCCTGCCCTTTGGGGGAATATTACCTCCTGAGATGAGATCAGCTCCCATCCTTCTGACCTTCAGCAAGAGCCTCAAGACCTAGTTCTGCCAGATGGCTTGGAGTCCCACTGGGGGAGCATCACACTGGAGGTGGTTGATTAATTCAAAGCTAATCCCACAACCCCTCCCTCCTGCCCCCAGATCCGACTCCCCCTTCCCCATCCTGTGTCCATTTTATTTTGATGATATTGTCATTTTATAGGGTTAGGAATATTTATTGTTGATTATTTTGAAGTTTTTTTTTTAATGATGTAAGCTGCCCAGAGTTTCTTCAAAGCAAAATGGGCAGCAAATAAATTCAATCAATCAAGAAAACGAGGGCAAGATAATAGTTTGGCTTGGGAATCTTAAGCCTTGCCAAGAAGAGTTACACGCCAATGCGCCATGGTTTCTATTTAGAACCAGATTGCTTGCGGGTGGAAAAAAAATCAATGTGTTTGTGACATCAGCAACCATTATACCAATCCCAGCCCTTGAATCAGAATTCTCTGTACTCTTAAGGAATGGCACAAAGAAACCTGAGACAATGCCTGCTGATGTCACTATGTACTTCTTTTTACTCTCTTATCTCATGCTGTGTTAGAAGAAGAGAATAAGAAGGGAAGAGTTAAAGGAAAGAAGAGAAGAAAAAGGCAGGAGCATGAACTTTGGATAAAACCATAGGTCAAAGGCAAGCAACGTAACTCAAAGGGTTGAAGAAAGGGGAGTGAAGTGTAAAAACAACTGGAACAGAAAATACAGGGCTGGCTCATTTACTCAGATAGTTCAATTATAGCTATAGTCATCATTCTTCATAACATTGGCATAACATTTATGGCAGTTACTCATCCAAAAACAGGGAGCACAGCGTTTTCATTCCTTGGAGGTGATCAGAGATATAAAGGCTTCGTTCACAATTCTCCCAAGTGCTGCTTAGCTTTTAGCAAATACAAGGAAAAGAGTTAGGTCTATTGACCACTACACAAATTTAGAGTTAATTACTTCTGTTCATTATGCCAAGTTGTTCACGGTTCTTGAACTAGGAGCATTGTAGAAATGAACCATCTATTCCTATAATAAAGGTAGAATGAGAAGGATCTTTAGATCATGATTGGGATTATTCATATAAGAAGCTTACACTTTCCTTTAGCTTGTGTACATGTATATATCCTCAACGAACAATTATGAAACATCCAGGGTTATCTGGTAAAAATTCTGTTACAATATCGGCAGTGCATTTATTACACTTCATTTATTTGTTCTCTCAGTCATAGGCATAGTCTTAATATTATGAATTAGCTCAGAGATTTATTTAGGGTGTGTCAAATTTTTCAATTTCCAGACATTAGTGGTTGCTCAAAAGTTGTGTCATGCCTTGGGGATTGTAAAGATATTTTGGTTACTTTTTATATAATTTAGATGTGTTTGGTAAGTAACTACATAAACATCACAACTTTTTAACATGTTTGTTTCAGTATGTATAAATAAGTTATGATTTCAACTCACATTTGAGCTCATGAATAAACTTTATACCTATCCATTGATCATATATAACTAGCTTCATAGCTGCCAGATTTATTGAGTAGTTGTTTGTTAATAGGGCATAAGTAGTTAGAAATAATTCTAGGCTAGATTATAATGCAAAGGGAACAACATAAAGTGATAGTAATAATGTTCATGTAGCACCTCTTGATAGTTTAAGTTTTGGTCAATTTTATTCTTGCTATTATGGACTGCTACTGAATTTTATTCTGTAACATACATATTTGTGCCAGAAATAAGAAATAAGCATCGCGTTAAATAAAATTGAAACTCTTGTAATGATGACAAGATACATGATTCTCTTAAGTAACTTGTAAGTATACAAGGTAGGAATTTTATCTTTTTGGTTATCCATTGTTTGCAACTTGAATTGACAGTTTTATGAGAAGAGAACTACAGTTTCAACTACTTTTGGTTTAAATTATTTTTAATTTATAATTAAATTATTTTGTTTCTTAATTTATTTTCCTTTGGTATGATATCCTATGTGGTAAATATTAAATGGCATTTGGAGAAACAGAAAGATTTGAAAGCAGTACTGTGGTATGCTCATTTAAAATATATACAGGACATCAGCTTCACATAAAATTTAAAGTAGTATATTGACTGAAAAATTCTGAGAATCACAATCGTGACTCATCTTGAAGGCATAGTTTATAGGAAATGGAAATGGAAATGAAGGACAACAAATTTGTTGTTCTTTCAGTATCCTTGTAGCATAACATTATTCAGTGGTTTATCTAGGTATAGGTAATCCTTGATGTATGACTTTAATGGAACCTACCCATAATGGTCATGAGTTGTGACAGTTATAAAGCTAGTTAGTCATGTGATTGACCCAACTCTACGATCATTTTTGTGTTGGTCATGAAGAGACCACAGTTATTAAGCAAATCCATAATCATTAAGTGAACGATGCAATTGTTAAGCAAACCACTAGTTTGCTATGACTATGATTATGATTTTGCCGAAAACTAGAAGTGGTAGTTTTCAGCAAAAGAGTCATAAAATGTGGTTGTGTGACTATGAGACACACTGGGAATAGTTTAAAAGTGATAGGAACAGATGGGAGCAGTGTTTAGAAATATAGGATTTTGTACCTGCTGTCCTTATACTTTCTCAACGATCATGGGCTTTAGAAGCCATCCTGGAAAAGGTAGACTCATAGGTAGGTAACAGAACTATGGAATGTAAGAGATCAAGGTAAAAAGTATTTTATTAGCCTACAGAATTCTTGAGAAATAAATATATGTAAACTTTGAAAGCAATCTCTTATGCTAGTCTCTGTCTTTCAGGTAAACTTTTAATTTTTCTGTCTTAATCCTCTAGAATTGGTAATGTAGGAGGGGTGGAATTGAAGAGGTATTCATTCGACAGACCAAACAGGAGGATAATTTATTCAAATTGGACCCCTGACAAGAGATTGAAACCTTTACTGCTTCACTCATAGATCCCAGTACACCAGAAAGAAGCTGTAAATATCTCAGCGTTTAATTTTTAAGTAATACTGGTAGTCCTCAACTTACAAGCACAATTGAGCCCAAAATTTTATCTTACTAAGTGAGACAGATGTTAAGTGAATTTCCCCCCATTTTATGACCTTTCTTGCCACAGTTGTTAAGTGAATCACTGCAGTTCATAAGTGAATCTAGTTCCCCCACTGACTTTGCTTGTCAGAAGGTCGCAAAAAGAGACCATAAAATCATGTTACCAGGGGGATGCTGCAACGGTTAAAAGTGTGAAAAATGGTCATAAGTCACTTTTTTCAGTGCTGTTGTCTTTGAATGGTCACTAAATGAACTGTTGTAACTTGAGGACTATCTGTACTTGAGCAGGGGATAAAAGCCAAACTCTGTACCTGAAGTCAGACAGATGGTGCTATGAAAAAACTCTTTAACACTAAAGAGGCTCTATCAGTCCACTATCAGTCACAAATCGATACTCCTAAATCAAATGGGTGAATTACCCTGGAATAAGATAGCTTCCTGTATTCTAATCTTTCCATTCTAGAAAAAAGCTTGTAAAAATAAAGAAAACAAGGAAACAAAGTCTTCTATCATGTTAGGTAGTACAGTATTGAAAATAATGTTCACTCACAGATTTCACCTTGAAATCAATTTAATTTTGAAGCAGCTTTTCAGAATTTCATGCTGGCATATTACATTAACGTAGGACATTAGTGAAAAATACGGTATTGCAGCCTGTAGCTCTTAACTGTTCCTTAAACTGTTTCTCACTTATGCCCAAAGGATCTTCATTTGTTTTCCCCCATTTGCATCATTTTTCTTTGCTTTGTTTTGCTTTGCTTTGCTTTGCTTTGCGTTGGCCTTTTCTGTTTTGTTTTGTTCTGTTTTGTTTTATTTATTTTTTTTCTTTTTCTGAAACAGGAAGAGAAAATCCTTTCTGGAGATACACCTCTTCATGTAAGTGTTTTTTATGCTTGTTAATAAAAACATTGTAATATAGGCTTAAATATTCAGAATCCAGATCATCATCTTCTCATAGAAAGATAACAGAATAGAATAGAATAGAATAGAATAGAATAGAATACTGTGAGCATTTGTGAGCATCAAAACAAATTCTTTGTGTGTCCAGTCACACTTGGCCAATAAAGAATTCTATTATATTCTATTCTATAATAAAATCCATATCCCCAACATACACACCCACGATATGCAGCTGAAACAGTATTTTCAGATCTCAGATATGGATTAGAACATGTTGCCCAGTCAAAGTCCAGTCATTTTCATGCCTTTGTACCTAGACTGAATCATAATCAGAAAGTAGGTACAAATCACTCATAACTTGCACATAATTTCCACAACATTTTTAGGTCTGTAGATAACCAGCTTACCATACCTCGCATTAACAAGTGGGTGTATGTGTTTCTTGCCTAAAATTACAATCCTGTGTGCCCCATTTATTTGTTTGGAGGGCCCAGTAAACTCTGAACCAACATGATAAGGTTGTGCTGAAATGCTAAACATACTTACTTCAGTAGAACTTAATTCTGAATAAACTTTCTCAAGATTGCACTACAAATCATTATTCAATAGTAATAGAACAAGCCAGCATAGAATTTCCTACTTCCAATCTTTGGCTAAAATATACTTTGTTTTTTCAGGTTCTGCTCTATTTGCAAGGTTCCTTATATGGATAAGACTTCAAGTAATGCTTCACAGCTCCTTCTATAATTTACTGTGTTATATAATATATATATATATATCAACATTTAGCAGCCTCCCTAAATAGATACACCCAGCAAACTATACTCAGCCTGTTGATTCACAGTTAACAGGCACCATAACATAGCTTAACATCTGGCAAGCTGAGGTAGGACTTCATGTTGTGTAAACAGGTAATGTTTTCACCACAAGGTTGTGCTAGAGAGCGGTTCAGTGGCTTATTTTGCATTGCACCTAGAGAAAACAAAACACCAAGCTGTGGTAAACATATATTTATTTAAGGCAATTTATCTTGATCTTCAGATGAAAAAGCTCCCCAAATGACCCTATCGATAAACAGAACAGGCTGTCTTTGATTTGTGGCTTGGAATATAAAAGATATGACACAAAAATCAATGTGGGATACCAGAAAGGAGTTAACACACTTGTTTGCCAGTTTTGGCTGGCTTGTACATTTTGACAAGGTTGTGAAGCCTTTTCTTCATGGGAGCCTATATATGTGTAGGTGAACCCATGGGATTTTGTCCTTCCCCATGAACAATTTAATATGTTCATATACTTATTGGGAATCCGTTTTGCATTCAAACTTAAAAGCCATGTATTTGGCAATGGATCATATGTACTTCAGTCATGGAAAGATTTCTCATTTAAATTTAAATATTTTCCTTTGATAAAGGTAAATTGGCTTTGGAAATGAAAATTATGACAGCAATTGTGGTATAGATGCTCTTGTTTTGTATCATATTCTGTATGTGCACCGTGCCTCACATAATGGCAAGCTCAGAAACAATTTTGTTGCTTTTCATTTTCTTTAATTAATTCATTAGCAAGTTTGGTAACATATATTTCCATAACAAATCATTCAAAACGCTTCTCAGTAACATGGTTCTTTGCTTTTGTGGAGCTAAAATTTTACTTGACTTAAGAATAAAAGCAACTTGTAGAGTGCACACTTATGTTTAATTATCACTGTGCTGGCTACTACCAGTTTTGCAGAAATGTATTTGCAAACTTCCTTCAACCTGGCAGTTTGTTTGGGTTTTGGAGATTCATGCAATGGGAGAAGTAGTAAGGGAGGGCTTTCTCCTTTTGCAGGAGCTTTCATCTTTTTTATATTATTGATTACGCATTTGTTGTTCATAATGATAAAATGTCCGTACGATGTATTCTCTAGGTATTATACAAAATAAAATTTTATAATACAAAAATGGGGTTTTCTTCCCTAGCTCTGCTCTGTCATACCATGGATTAAATGTACACCTAGTCCACTGTTAGCCAAACTACAGAACTGGATGACAGAAGCTGTTTTGTGCCCTTGTCTACTGCTCTGGTTTTCCATCCACTGCCATTTTCTGGAATATGCAGAGGCACCTTCTGCCTTCATTTGACACCATTTCAAGGGTGTGTGTAGTGCGCAAAGCAACCACTAAACTATTAGTGATAGTACTGAACTGAAGGGAGGAAGGGAGGGGTTAAAAGCCAAAATAGTGTATCTCTACCATTTTATACCATTTCCCTTAATATGAGTGAGAGGACTGTTTTTTTCTCAACAGCACTGGCCTCATGATATAAATTTAAAAAGTAATTTTGCTCCCTATCATTGAGTTTTTAATAAAAGTGTTGGCACTTACAAATCAAGGAACACAGGGGGAGGGTTTCTGTATTTGTTCATTTTGTTTCATTGGCTTGTGGAATGATGTAAAAAGGCTCTTGTACAAATCCACTGGTTTTTGAACAGACTGCAGTGGAGAAATGAGCTCTCCTAACTTTGTCAGTCTGGATAATAGACTTTGCAAAGCTGAGAAAGGAGGAGGAGAGGACTGTATGTGCCAAGTTCTGTACCCAAAGCCTTTGGTACATAGCAATTCTCACTGAGCCAGTACATTATTAGGACTGTTTCTTACATCTTGGTGGAAGAAAAGTGTCCTCTCTCCTTCAAGATAGGCTAGTCACAATTCCTAGATGGTCTGGAAAGTGAACTGGCTGATATTCTTAGTAACCTTAGTAAGAATTTTAGAATGTAGATAATTAACATCAGCAGTGTGCACAATCTGTTCTTGTACGGTGGATAGGGTATGTGCACAGACAAATTTTCTTGAATTTAACTTGGATTTGCTTCCTTAGATCACACTGCCATTAAAGAAGTATGGAAAGGGCAAATCCAACGTAACCGAGCACAATAGTTTTTTTTTTTTTAACTTCCTCCTCTCACCTGCCTGGAGCACATACTCTTTAATTAGACTAATTTAGAATAGGCTGAGAAAGAGAATATTTATCCAAAGGAAGCAGTGATAAATCCATTTCATATGCCTTGTATTTACTGACATCAACATAATAAGACTAGGTCAGCAAATTCAAGGAAATCAGTTGCAAAGTTAAAATAGAAACTCAGTCCCTTGGTCCATGTTGGATGTCTTGATGTACTGACTCAGACTGGGCATGACTTCTTCCAATTATTACTATAATTCAGAGGCAGAGTTTTAAAATTATTTTATAAGAGACAAATGAAATCCTCATAGGGCCTGCTCTCAGATGGAAGGGTATTATATAGAAGTATGCCAAGTAACAAAGCTGGCAGGAAAAAGAAAAGTTGTAGTCTACTTTTCTGCTTTCTAAGAGGCCCTTGAGAGATGCTGAAATATTGTGCTGGCTTTTCTTAATATCTTTTATACACATACACACTCTCGACCACAAACCTGGGACTTAAAAGGCTTTTATATTTTCATATGCTTACTTCCTTCAAAACACCTTGGAAACTATCATTATAGACGATGGAAACTTCAGTTTTAGGGATATTTATTTATTTATTTGTATGTGTCTCATTTATATAGTCCATTCACAAGCAAGTGATTCTGGGTGATGTACAACAAAACTACTGTGAAAGGCACTACATGTCTAGCAGACACATATGTTGCTCAGCCCATTCCTTCCTTTAGGATCTTCAGTTTAGCAGGCAGAATAGAGTAGCAGCTTTCAAATATTTGCAAGTTGTAGTGCGATAGTTTAAAAATTTCTAGAATTTTTTTACTCAAATATAGCCCTGTTCTTTATTACTAGAGTTTTGATCAAAACTCTAGTAATAAAGAACAGGGCTATATTTGAGTTAAAAAAATTTTTTTTGCACTTAGTCTCTCATGAAAACCCATCCTCATGGAATTGTAGGATTCTGTGGAATATATGTTTAGCCCTGGAGTAGGTCATCTTTATTTTTAAAAAGAGTCATAGTACAGTATCCTTGAACCCAACATTCCAAATGGCACATTTTTAAAACTCATCTGCAGACCTACAAGGATTCTCTAATCTCCAAGGCAGGATGCCTTGGATATGTAGAGGTTACATAAGCCAAAAGACCCAGTTTAGCCAACAAATCACGGAAGAGAGCTATCACAAGCAAGTCTCAAGTGTTAAGTCCATATCAGCCTATTATGTTGAAATGGATATGCATTAATATATTAATATAACTTACTATATCTCACCTATTTGCATTTAGATACACATGTTAGAAGCACATCTCATTTCATTGAAAACAGTGCAGGGCAGATATATTCTACATACAGATCTGTTATTGTTAATAACAATAATGGGTGAATAAGAAGTAATGCATCAGCAAACAAAAAAACAGTATTAAGACTCAATTTATGCAACCCATATATGGATAATCTTTGGACTGAAAACAATACAGTACATCAAAATTACTGCTGTGGTACCTTGCGTTAATGAAATGTCAATGGTTAGTTCTGTATATGTGCACAACCCATATAGGGTAATATTTCACATAGATATTCCTGCTCATAGTCTCTTCAATATAAATGATTTAGTTCTTTGGCTCCTTTTTAACTGCTTTCACATACATTTTTAAGCAGGGAATAAATGACTTTGGAAAACTACACAGGGATGTTGTCAACTTTTAGGCTTGTTAAAATGTTTATGTTTCATAAAATATCTTGAGAAAATATAGAGCTTATTTATTTTATTTATTTATTAAACTTAAATGCTGCCATTTCCACTATCGAAGTGACTCTGGGCATTTTGTTTTGTAATAATTTTAAGAAAGCTCTGTATCCCTATTAATCTTCAATTGGGTCCATGTATACTGAAGCCTTTAGCTCCTGACAGAAGTAGGCTTTTCCAGAATAGGGTCCTCAGGATTGCATTTTTATAAGGAAAGACTTATCAGAGTTAGTTCTGGAGTACAGTATTTCTTAAGGTGCAACTCCATAGGGAGGAAATTGATTGCTCATTGTCATCACCAATATTATTTTTAATTGCAATGCTCAGAAGGATCCATCTTTCTGTGTTCATTTGCTGCAACAAATACTACCAACATTCATTACTTTCTATCAGTGTCTTACCCTATGGAGGAACCAGCCCTGCCCATCCACATTGAGGAGGGGATAGACGTTCTGACTGGTGAGTGCAGCTAAGGTGGGGTGCTTGTGAAATTCGGGGGTGGGGGGGAGGCATGCTGATGCAGAAAGCTTGAGACCTTGCTTGTGTTATGTATTTGGGTAATTTAGGAATGTTTTCCATAAACATTTTAAGTAGTTTTTGTGTTTTTCCAAAATGTGCTATATTGGCAGGACCAGTTCTCAGTTCTTAGAAATGTTCCACCATGATCACACTACACACTGATCTGTCATTACCTACCTTTGCAGGCTCTCATAATTTTACTGTGTGTATAAAGAATATAGCCATTTTTGCTACTCAAATGTACAGATACAGGGTGCAATAAAAAGTCCTTCAGGCAAATGACTATTTTGATTTAAAATTGACTAACTTGTTTGAATTGCTTGCTCACAATTCTTAAAAACATATTTGCATGAGAACGTATTTTTCTTGGGCAAAGAAGAAGAAATTAGAAACTTTTTTGTTGTCTTTTTTGAGGAATTAACATTACCCCCCCCCATTTTTTTAAACAAGTACAAAAATGAAGATACAACTCTATGAAGATTCGATTTATCCAAGCAAGCAAATATATCCACTTCTAGAAGGATCTGGTGTAGGCAAGAAAACATTTGGAAGACATCTTTTGCAACATGTATTAATATGCAGATACAACCAGATCTGTGGATATCAGAACTGTTAGCACAAAGTTGGTGCAATACATCTCTTTTCCACCCTCAGTTCTATCTAAAACTGTCATCAAGAACCTACTGTTCTTGTTCTAGAACAAACTTAACTCGATTGTTCTGAATTCCACAATTAAAAACATAGCATTTTTCTTTTGGTAAATGGCCTATTTCATTATTTAGAGATTAATCAATATTTAGTTACCTATATTTTAATCCAGACACCAGTTCGAAGTATTTCATAGGATACACTATTAATGAAAGATGGGAGTTTCTGATAATCTGCCTAATTATTTTATGCTTTAATGTTTTTTTTTTTATTTCCTGCCAAAATTAATAAATGATTTTTAAAGTAGAAAGTGCTCTTTCAGTCCATCTAGTTTTTATGGTTGACTAATCATTGAGCACAATTGCAACTATTATCTTTAGCTCTGTGATAAAAGTGTGAATTACTCAGAAATTTATTTATATGCATGGGATTATTTTATAAATTATTTTAAGATCTGAGGCTTAGAATATAGAATTTCATATGAGCAGACACAGTGTGACACTTAATTAGCTTAATAATGAAATTACAGTCTTTATCTTTTCTTCATAAGAAAACATCTTTGGTATTTCTTACAGATTTCTATATGTGAACTGTAGGAAATCTGGAAGATTTTAGTTCATGAGATAGTTACATTTGATATATATTTCATACTTCTTTTCTATATTGTTTTGGTATTACTTGTTTTAGTATTTTTCATTCCAGTTAGAAGCTAGTTTTATAGTAATCATAATTTTTCCAGATTTATTTTTCCTATAAGAATACGATCAAAATATGCATACTTTTCCTTTTAAATGTGAATTGATAGTACTTTGGCTTGCTGGAAAGCAACAGGAAACCCCACAAAAACTGTGTTTTATTTCATATAACTGTCTGTCTCCTATTCCTCTTCTGCCTTTCTTTCAAGCTCTATATTATGTAAGAAAATTGATTTATTTGTATGTGCATAAAATATTAGTGTCTAAGATTTTAATTCCAGTTTTTCATTTATATAAAATGTTGCTTGAAAAATGCAGCTCTTACTCCTACTGTATAACAAAACGGTTAAGAAACTATAGACATTTCCATTTCCTAGTAATGTTCATTCTCAAGTACAATAGCAGAGGGATTTTGTACAAATTGTTGCTTTGTATACTCTGGAAATTAACTGCATGCTTACTGAGTGCAAATTGCCCGTGTGCAATTAACACTAACTAAATATAAATAATGATGGCAAAATCATTATCTGAACTCAGCTGGAACTGGAAAAAGAAAAATTGAAATAATATTAAGATGAATCTTAGTAGTATTAGTAGAGTTTCCACCATTGTTGAAAACAAAGGATAAATTGCCCTTTAAAAATATACTTCAATTTGCAGAACATAGTAATCCGAAATAACTGATATTTTTATTTCACCAAGGAAACAAAAGCTTTATCAAATATCTAGTATTTCCTGTTACTCTTCCGAAATTTAAACACATTTAAAGAAAAACCTAGCCTTTTTATTTGTTGTCAAAGTTTTATTAGTTATATTGTGCTAAAAATTGCTCCTGACAGTGAAAACAATCAATGGAACAATTTGTCTCCAGAGGCTTTGGGTGCTCCTTCACTGGAGGTTTTGAGAAAAATGGCTGGGCAACCATTTGTCTGGAGTGGTATAAAATCTTCTGCTCTAGCAGAGGGTTGGACTAAAAACCTTGAACTCCAAGGTTCCTTCCAACCCTGTTATTCTATGTTATTCTGTTGTTTTAGTGTTTAAATATACAGAGAACTATATAGAAAATTTAAATTCTTAAATATAAAGAAGAATTTCTTGATGGTAAGTTATGTACTGTAGGAGATGACCAATCTAAGCCTGAAGGCAGGGTCAAATAGATTATCAGTCTGGAGTCCTACAGTCTCCAACCCACTTAATGTCTGTTGACTCTTATTTGCCTTGACTCTTCAGATTCTTGTAGAGGTTGCATGGAATAAACCTGTACTGCTTTTGAACTCTATCATGGCTCTTACTGTAGTTTCTTGTGCTTGAGATATACAGTAGAAATATCTTTCTATGAATGACTTCTCCATTTCTGAAGGTTTAAGAAGTGGCTGAATAGCCACCTTTCATGAATACCATTTCTTCTACATGGTAAAAGATTGGTAGAAAATTGGAATAGACAATCCTCGTGGTCTCTTAATTTTATAGTTCTGTGATGTATGAAGGATTATTATTTGGTGATTAAAGGCATATCTGCATCAGTGAAATCTACTAGGCAATTCAGAGTTAAATTGCAGACCACACATAATATAAGCAAGTTTAGCTGCCCCTGTGATTTATATTTGGAAGAGGAAGCTTAAGTAGTTTCTCCTGTGCATTGAAATAATGAGTGAATTCTGCAAAATAAGATTGAACTTCCCACTCTGTTTTGCAGTCTTAATTTGGATTGGTATACCTTGTACTTCCTTTATTAAAAGAAAAATCAATGGGACAAGGATAGTTTGATTGTTGAGAACTCCAGACATTTTACAAAAGACCAGTTAACTACCTGGAATAATTTAGTTAGCCAAGCTGTATTGGAACAGAGAGATAATTGGCAAGACTAGAAATAAGTCAGGAAAGACTTTCAAGCAAAACACAAAAGAAATTGCCAGTCATTTGCAATCTTAAATACTGTCTTGTGAAAAAGTTTTATTTATTAGTACATAAACTTTAAGACACAGGTAGATACAGTATTTTAACAACATCTGAATAAAGCTGTAGAAGGTAAGAACATGTCTTTCATTCCAGACATCTTCAGATAAATTCTTCAATGAGTACTAGAAGAGGCATAGATCATTATATGGGTATATGGATCATATTTACCAGTATGTATAATGTACACTATAAACCAGAGATCTCCAAACTTGGCAACTTTAAGACTGAAGTCCACAAGTCTTAAAGTTTGCAAGCTTGGGAACCTCCGCGATAAACTGTAAAGAAAACAAGATATCAGCAAAAGATAGCAGTTAGCAGTAGGCATCTGTGAGAGACAAATTGTTAAATTACATCATTTAGTTGGGTCAAATGTTGGGATGCAAGTATGGAAGCACAGAGTTTGTGTCATGGTGTCCCCATATCAGTGTTGCCATTTTGTTGAAATTCTGGTTTGCTGAGAATATCAATGATCATAGCTATTATTTCTTTTGTTTGGAAAAGGACAAGTAGTCCCATGTCAGCTTTTGTAACAGCAGGCTTATATAATTTGTAGCATGTTCTCTGTAGAAACATTATGGTCTTTTTCACGCTATGTTCCCATCCTTCTGGTAACTTGTCTTGCTGTTTGATATACTATTTTTTTTAAAAAGCCGCAGTATTGCACTTGGAAATGCCAGGGCAGGGCCCAGAATCTTTTCTCTAGAAAGCATATGAGCTCAGTATTAATTGTATATGTTACTGTGATCAGCAACATAACAATCCTATTTGTAGTGGATTAACCTCTTAATTTATTCCCTTATTTTAATTCTTTGTCATTTTAATGAATAAGAATAGCTAATGGTCGCTGTCCTTAGTAGACTTATTGCATGAATGTTAAAAGTGCGACACAAATTATATTTTATTTCTAGTAACTGAAGGGAAAACATTAGTTTTGGAATTGGCCTGGACACAATATTCAAGTTGGGAAGTTGTGCTTATTCCTATCTCATTCCTATTTATAGGTGGTTTTGGTTTTTTTAATTATTTTAGTGTCTCAAACTTAATATTTGTAGAAAGGATAATTTGAGAGTTTGTTTTTAGACTGCTGTCTGAGAATTTGTGCTGCAGTATAGAGTTGACACTTCACCATTTTGTATCGGGAATAACGATGTAATTTAAAAGTAGTATGTAAGTATGAATAATTGTCAGTCATTACGTGTAGTAAGTTCACTCCAGGGATTGTTAACTGAAGACTGAAGACAGTCTGTGGTCATTTAAGAACTGACAGTTGTATTTAACAGAGCCATCATTCTTACAGTGATTCTTGTACATTTAACAGTGGCTGGATACAATTGTGCCTACTGTCCCTGTCTTATTGTCCTCAATTATTAGTTCCTATTTCATGCATTTAAACTTATGTTTATTATTATTTCTATTATATTTTAAGCATTTGACTAAATAAATAAGAACTCACCTGTAGATAGCTGTTTTAGGAAATACTAGCTAAGCAGCACTGATGATGTTACTTAGTAAAGTAACAAAATGTCTGCAAGCAAACAATGAAGCTATGAGAGCACCAAAGGCTTTTCAACCCTGAGCTACAAATATTCTCTTTTATTGGAACAGTGACTCTATTCAGATAATCATGTATGAATGAAT